ACATTAAGGTACACTGCTTTTTCATGGTGATACAGAACTTAGCTTTTTGCCCCCCATTGTCCTATGAGCATCCCAATGTCACAAAATCTGTCTTCAAACAGCACCCTCACTTATAAACTCTAAATTAGTCACTAGAGTAATAAGGAAAAAAATGTATTAAATATACACGCTGCCCTACAGTTTTTGAAAGACAAAAATTTAGGTTAAAAAATCATATACAAACCAGATTATTTCATTAGACTTGAAAATGAACCATGGTATATATCTCTTTATATCATAATCTAAGAAATGTTTAAGTTTTAAAACATCTTCTTTTGTAAACTTCCTTTGTATCTTTATAATATAATAAACATTTCCACAGAATAATCTAGTTTGTATTAATAAAATTTTAGGAAATTTAACTAAATTATTTTCCCCCTCCCTTTTTTGTGGAGACAGAATCTCCGTTGCTCGGGGAGTGTGCTGTGGCATTAACTTAGCTTGCAGTGGGCGGTGCCTGTGGGTCAGTGGGCAGGGCGCCCGCCCCTTATACCCAGGGTGGCAGGTTCAAACCCAGTCCCAGACAAACTGCAACAAAAAATAGCTGGGTGTTGTGGTGGGTGCCCATAGTCCCAGCTACTTGGGAGGCTGAGGCAAGGGAATTGCCTAAGCCTAGGAGTTGAAGGTTACTGTGAGCTGTGTGATGCCACAGCATTCTACCTAGGGTGATAAAGTGAGACTCTGTCCCTACAAAAAAAACAAAAACAAAAAAAAAAAACAAAACTTAGCTCACAGCAACCACAATGTCCAAGACTCAAGTGATCACCCTGCCTTAGCCTGACGAACAGGTGGTGCCTACCACAGGCAAATTTTTCTATTTTTAGTAGAGATAGGGTCTGGTACTTTTACAGACCAGTTATGAACTCCTGTGCTTAAGTGATCCCCACACCTCCACCTCCCAGAGTACTAGGATTACATGTGTGAGCCACCACACACTGCACAGTGTAACTTCTGGGGCAACCAAGAAGGGAATGAAGCATGTGATTAACATGATCTTTCCTAACCAAGTTGAGTGATTTCAGGAGAAAATTCTGTTACCTTAAAGAGTCAAACTGCATCATGTGATATTTGAATATTAACACCTTCTGTACCTGTGTCTTCTCTTTTCCTCTTCTGCTCATCAGGGTGGCTAACAGCAATGTCTGAGTGCTCCCTCCTTTGGCACCAGGTATAGGTTTAAACCACATGTGGGTATTCCACTTTTACCCCAACCATAAAATTCATAAAATTCACCCCATATATGACAGCTCCTCTCAAGCCATGTGTGCACTGGCTGGTGGAGAGAAATCTCAGAAACTTCACTATGAATACAAATTCTCACACTTCCTCCATGTACATCACCACTGTCAATATCTCAACCAAAGGTTAGGTGTATGTGAACAACCAAGATCCAGGGAAATGAAAAGTAAAACTCGGGTGCAGTGTGATAAGAGTGAATACAGGTGGTTCCTAGTTTATCCAGCAAAATAAAGTCCCATTTTCAGTGCTGATTCCACACAGGAAATGCATAAGGGATAATATTTAAATATTATGTCACTGAGTCCTGCA